TATCATATTTTTCTACATTTTAATTTATCTGTATTTTTACTCAATTATTTTTATCAATATTATATTTGAATTTCACGCCAATTTTGGGGCAAATTTCTTATTGGTTCTTTCCGTATTCAGCCGCCATTATGCGCAATGATACACCTGATATATTTACATCATGCTATTACGGCCTACAACTCTCCATTGTAGACGGCTCTTTAAGGGTCGTCTACAATGGAGAGTTGTAGGCCGTAACAGTAAGAAATTGACAAATCACAATCGATTATTCTTCTGTACTTTATCTGTGATTGGTCAATTTCTTACTATTACGGCCTACAACTCTCCATTGTAGACGACCCTTTAGAGGTTTGTTCGCGTCGCACGCCCCAATATGCTTTGTACTCGCCCCCCAACGCACCCTTAGGTTTGTTGTTTTTTTCCCTGAACTGGCTGCACTAGTTCACAGTCTGTCTTATTTTTTTTAAATATGGATAAAAAAAGATAGACTGTGAACTAGTGCAGCCAGTTCGGGGGGAAAAAAAAAACAAACTTTCTATATACGCGCAATATGGCGACAGCATTTCTATGCTTTTAGGCAATTCTAGCGAGAGACAAACAACACGCCAATTTTGCAAATGCGCCACGTAATACATCAATAAACATTTGTTTGTGTCGGCTTCCGCGGTTTTTGTGTTGTATGACGGACATCTGTCTGGTAACAATTCGTGGTAATTGTGCGAATGAATCGGCAGCCATTTTTAAACTGCCCACTTACTATACAGTGTATAAAAAGGATATGGATAATGGACCTTGTGTTGCGAGATAGCGATTTCGAGCGAATGAGATTAAATGGGGCGTGATTGTTAGCAAAAGAACAAGAACAAAGCAAACGAGTCGGGAATAACTTCGTCGGAGCGTGTTTGATCGTCATCGTCGACGTCGGGGCCGTGATCGTCGTCTTCGTCCTCATTGTCCTCGGCGGATTACCAACCAACACCAAGAGCGAGACTATTTTTCTTCTCGTGTGCGCGTAACGAATAGTGTTCGAATCGACGAGCGCATTTCTTCTCCGTGTAATTAACGTAATAGCGAATTGTCAACATTCGCGACAGTTCGCTCGGAATATGCCTTTAAGTTCACATCCCGTATTCTTGCTAAGAGAAGCGCGTGGTTCGGCCGATCGTTTGCACTGATCGAACCGGAAGAGACAGAGAGAGAGAGAGAGGGAGAGAGAGAGAAAAGAAAAAAAGAGAAAGAAAGAAAGACACCGAGAGATCACCACGAGGTAGGATCACTAACAATCATAATCCGAGGAATCTGGAAGATCCGAACGCGTGCAACACAACGATGTCGATTCTAACATGCGAGAGGACGGATGCAACGATCGTGTCTCTCGAATGTTAAGTTTCTATAATAATGGCAGATAATGTGCACAGAAAATCGCACAAGCTGTCGGATGGTAGTAGAAAAATTTCTAACCCGGTTCACCGCACGACCACGGAGACGATCCGGCTGGGAGAAATAGAAAAGCTGCACCAGCCGGTCACTCTCATCGCGCCGAGCAACGTGCAACAAGCCGGGAGCGGCAACCAGTGCAATCGGAAGAAAACGTCGTCCTTCCAGATAACTAGCGTTACCGTAGGCTGCCGCATGAGCAATGATGCTGGCGAGGATTCGAACGATGATCTGGACGAGTCGCACACGGAAGACAATTCTGTCGAGCACTCGCGCATCACCGACATCGACATCGAGACGCCTAGCTACTCCGAGGACACTTTCTCCAAGGAGGACGTGTTCTTCAACACGAGCAACGCCGCCCTCAGCACGGCGCCGGTGATTCCAACAAGTTCGCAATACGGCTTGGCGATCGTGCCCTCCGAAGGTGGTAATGCAAGTAACTCAGTTAACGATAGCAATATCAACACCCTGGACATCACGTCTGTCACCGACAAGAATATAATAAACTTACTGTCGAGTAACGTTAAGCAAGATGCCGATCTGCGAGAAGTTCACTCGCACGGTAGAAACGAGAGATTCAAGGTGGTCAAGATCGAGAGCACGGAACCTTTCAAGAGAGGACGATGGACCTGTATGGATTACTTGGATCATACATCGGTTAATCAACCGACCGCCATCAGTACTCCCAAAGTGTCTGATCCGAATGAGGTGTGTATATCTTACGGGGTGACTGACAGCGGAGTCGTTGTACCGGAAGCCGCCAAGCAATCCGTAGTGACTGACGATAAAGGGATTAGTATCGACTCCAACGGACCAGTTTCGTCTCATCCAGATGCAGTGCATACGTCGATTGCTGTATCGAACAATCCCGCTCAATCGGTACCGAGTGCGAACTACGCGGTAAATAACTCAATACCTCCCAATGTACAGCATAATCCTACGCAAGTTCAAACCCAGGCCAAAGTGCAACAGCCCACACCGGCGCAGCCAATTCCGCAATACTTTCAATCGCAGGCCCAGCCAATAGCTACCCAGCAGCAGCAACAGCAACAACAACAGCAGCAGCAGCAGCAGCAGCAGCAAAGTGGTCAAGGATCTACGTTACCTTCCAATTTGCAGACCGCTCATCCTAACAATCTGAGTCAGCCCCAAAGTATGCCCCAGGGTTCTATTCCTCTCATGACACAGACTAATAATAGCACGGTGACTGCTCAGCAGAGTATACCTCATTCGAAGGAAGAAACATATGTGACAGTGAGCACTCAGAATCAATCTCTGCCGGTGCAAAATGTTTGTCCAGCGGCGGTGCAGCAAACCTCGGCACCGACCTCCCAGACACCAAACATACTTGTTACGCAGCACCAGTCGGACGCAGCTGCCTGTCAGCAGACTTTGCAGACGCAGAAACCGCAGATGACACAGATTTCCGAGCCACTAACTGCCATACAAGGGATGCAAGGCATGCAAAACATTCACACGGTTCCTCAGACGGCAAGCGCGCCGCAGCAAGCTTCTTCGACAATTCATCCATCCGGCGCATCGGTGCAGTCACAGGTGATCGCGTCCACGACGCAACAGATGCAGCCGCAAACGTCCACCAGCACTGCTCCGGTACAGATCACGCAAGTAACGGCCAATTGTCAGAACGTCGTAGGCGGATTGCAGCAGGGAAACATAGCGTTTCATCAGTCCGATCCAGAACAGGAATCCATCACCGGCATTGTTCCTAATTCCACGAACGTACAGTCAGCCGACGCGACTCTCCTCGAATCATTAGCCGAAGTTACGCAGGGCAGCGACGAGCATCGTACCCTCGAAGATAATGAAAGGTAGTCTCTTTGCAAATTTAAATTTAATCAGAAAACCAAACAGGTGTATTTAGATAATTTAACAATAATATGATTACACATGACGACTGTTGAAACTTGTGCTCTTTTTAACAAGTTGTTTTTACATGGCTATACAGATATAAATTTGTTTTTGTACGAATAAATTTATATAAGCAAGTCTACATTGCAGTATGTCGGGGACAAGTGCTGTGGCAATTGATAATAAAATCGAGCAGGCTATGGTGAGAAGCTATTACAATAATAAAAGTCATTTACTACTTGTCTGACTTAACGCATGATAATGCTGGAGTACACATTGTAATCTTCCGTAGGATCTGGTTAAAAGTCATTTAATGTTCGCGGTAAGAGAAGAAGTCGAGGTACTGAAAGAAAAGATAGCCGAGCTTATGGATCGTATCAATCAATTGGAGGCAGAAAATTCAATATTAAAAGCACACGCAACTCCGGAAACTCTGGCTCAATTGAGCCAATCGACAGCAAAATTACCCCAAAACAGTTCAGGAAGTGGTCAATAGGTAACCGTTGTACATAAGTTTTTATCGATACTTTGTCAAATATAAGTATAATAATGGATAACATAATTATATTGTGTATATAACTTTACGCGATTTTTAGAAATTTATATATATATAAAAATATAATGAGATTTATTATATTATATACATAAATATATCTTAGCATTATTATTATTACTCTTTTTATTTAAAGTAAATTAAAAATAATGTATTATTTTTTACTATTTCAGTTTAATTGTTTAGGAAGAACATATTTAAAACTGTAAAAATTTGAAGGTTTCTTCTTTCTAAACATGATGAAGATAATTTTGAAGATATATGTATATGTATATGTATGTATGTGTATATAATATATATGTATATATACATACATATATATATATATATACATGTACACATACTGTTGATTCTAGACAAAAACATATACCAAGTACTAAAGCAACGCTAGGAACAGAATGGACATTATTAGAAACACGATTTTCTAACGTATTACAAAACAAAAAAATAGTAACAATACGACAGGATAGACAGCTTGACATTCCTTGTTTGCTATTGTTTTAATACTGTATTTTTGATTACAAATTTCATCAAACTTACACAGTGTGATTGGCAAAGATGATCAAAACTTATAACATTTTTGAGATATTCTATTTAACGTACATTTTTCTCATTTTCTCTTATTTTTTAATGATTTTTAGAATCTTTATAGTAAAATTTTGATTTGATGGTAAATTGTGGTATCCAACACATTTGCCACTTCAATATGAAATCTCATATTTTATAAGATCTGCTCGTTGTAGTCTGGTTTTTAAAGTTATATATACATATATATATACATATATGTATATATATATATATATATANTATATATATATATATATATATATTATATATATACATATATATATATTGTAATTACATCACAAATCAATATTCAAGGAACTTAATGTTAGTATGGATACAAAACCTGCAAATTTCCTGTCATCTTATGTTACATTTTTAAACATGCCTAATAAAAAAATTTTTAACTGTATCACAACTGTGAAAGTTCTTAGTGAGAAATTTTAATCATTTTTATGAAAAAAAATAAAATATTTGTGTAAAGATATAATTAAAATAACATCAAACTAGACAACTTTATCATATTTAAACTCATTTGTTATTATCGAATCTATTATTTGAGCAGAACATTTGTTTGCGTGTTATTATATTAAACAAACAATTCAAGTAAAACTTAAGTAAAAAAGCGATCAGGTAAGTAAAATTTTACTGTATAGTTTTAAAGAAAATTTTTATTTGGTCGCTATAAAGACTAAATATGGATGACACTTTATGTAACATAAAGCTATTTACGATAAAATTGTTTTTCTGGAACAAGAAAATCAATTCGTAATTACACCTTATAAATTTATAAATGTTAAAAATTTTTTTTAAAGGGAAAAATAACAACATACAGCCTCGATCTAATTATCATTATTAATAACGTGACTTTGCCCTGTATATATACGTACAAACGTAGCCGCGCACAAAAGTTGAGTCTATACAAATCCGAAGTTCTTTGATTTTATAGCGAGAAGTAATTTGTGTCGCAAGACGTGACGAGAGCTGTACAATGGAACGTATAACCGGGAGATGCACGTGTTTGCGGTTGGTAGGTGCGCGTCGTCCGCCGGCCGAATTGTCACGGTCGGCATCGGTTGGAAACCGTCCTCGCTTGCTGGTAATGCGGGAGAACCAGTCCAAAAATACACCTGTGTGTGACATACGCAAATAAATAAGTGAATATTCATTTGATGGGGAAAGATATCAATATGGTAATATGATATTTGATAATACAATACTCACCAAATCCTGCCTTTCCACGTGCGACATCTTCTCAACGATAGACCATAGCCAACGTTTGAATTTAACTAGTCTTTCCGTCGACTCGCCGGATTCATCATTAAACGACGTGTACGATATCAAAACCGACACGTTGATGTCGCCGACTCCGTTCAAGAGAAGTCTCAAGTCCTCGGCGGTCAAACCATCGAGAGCTCCGTCGGGAAGGACATCGAAAACTCCGTCGCGCATAGCATGCAGAGCTTTATCCTGTACCTTAATCATACGAACTTCTGCGTATTTACGTACATAGTCATATACGTTGCTTGCAGTCACTTCTACGTCACGGCCGTTAGGCACAAGTTCAATTGAGCCGCCTCCTTCCTCGGGACATAAATCAATACTGAAATATAGAATAAGATTCTCTCAAGATGACAATTCGATTTTTGTTTTCATACGCGTATAGAAATAATGATTTATTAATAAAAGTAATTGAGAAAAGATAGAAACAAACTGGAACGAGTTGTACCTGAATGTGAGATCCAAGGCAGAGAACAGACTGTTACTGTCTTTCGTTTCAGCATCGATAACCAATTGTCGCAGGCTCTCGTAAATAACGGAGTCGAAGAATGCAAGATCGTGGAAACGTATAGGCCTTCCTAGTATATACTTAATTACATGGCGATTTAAAAATAGCGGACAGAGTTCATTTTGCAAGAGACATAATCCTATAAGTCTGTAAAAAAAAAAAAAAAAAAAATTAAACATTTCATTCAACTTGTTCCCTGTACATTTAGGATATAAATCATCACAGTCGAATCGGATGGGTTCTGATATTTACCTTCCTACATTTCTGAATGCATTTAATCGTTCGTAGCTACCTCTGCCTTGTCTTGGCGTGTAAAAGCCACGTTTACCAGGAGAGTAAAAAAGCGGCGCGTTATCTTCCGTATCATCCATAATGCTGTTTTCTAATTTCTTCTTATTCGCCGTACATCGTTCAGTCAGGCTGAACACATCGAGGTCCAGTAACGCCTCGCTGGCCAGATCTTGCGTGTGACTGTGAATCAATTCGAACGCTTCCTCTACTTTCTGACGGAGAGCGTCCTCTGAAGCGAGCAACATCAGTAATTGCGCCGGTGACAATTCGAGTAACATACCAGTGATCTTTTCAGCCAAAGCTGGTCGTAAAGCATGCACCTATATTTCATCAAATAATATGCATGAGATAACAATCAATTTATTTTAATAAGATATTTTAGATTAAACGTCAGATATCTGTCTATACAAAAATGCAAATCTTGTTTATATAATTTATAAATTCAAAAACCTTGGGGTATAATCTGTCACCAAGTTGTTGTTGATGCATGCTCAAATGATCGTTGGAGTGATTGATCGGCAAGGAATGAGGATGATGAGGATTACTAGATGACGAGCTACCAGGTGCGGAAGTATTATTTCCTTCAATCGAACTCGATGGATGGAAAGAACGTGCGTCGAAAGACAAAGCTCGTCGTGTCTCACGACACTTTCCAGACGACCGTGTATTCTGAAATAAAACAGAAAAACAATGTTATGTGACATATTGAGTCAGAGGACTCATCGATCCTTATTGATTAAAAAGTGAGCATACTTGTCGTCTAAGATCGCGGTCACGGTCCCTGCCTTTCAGTTTTTGCAAAACGTTGTACTGCGTATATTTCGATCCTACTTGAGCCGCTTCGAGGTTTGGAAGTTTCTCATTTGCGAGCAATGCCTGAAAGCGTGTTTAAAAATTAGTTTAGCAAATGATGTTCCAGTTCAGTTTTTTTCGTTGATTTTATATTCCGTCTTATATACAAACTTCAGCAATGGCGGTATAAAAACTTCGAGTAACACCAGCTCCTTCGCCAGGTTCATCCTTGAAGAAGACTTTAACTCGACTCACTGCCAGAGGCGGTGTGTTCGAAGCTCTTCTATTATATATGTTATATTGTGTATTTAACTCCTTCATCGTCTGCACCAATAACTGCGTTCGATCTCGTTCCACCTATTAGATGTGACAATGTAATAATTACACACTTTAAATATAAGAAAAATATCTTAACTACACGTTACCTTAATAGTGATGTCTTTTTGTTGTGAATTTCTAAGTTTTTCCATATCTCTGCGGAACTTAGCTTCTTTTACGGGGAATCCTCCCAATTCGGATACTACGGATCCAGCTTCAAGACCTACATCTTCCATAAAAACGCGTCCGAAAAGGTCCAGCGACAATCGCCATCGTCCTAGCAAAATATTATGCGAGATATTCGTTCCGATAGAAGATAGCGCTCTAGCGGATTCCACTGGGCTTGTTTCGACGGTTTCGTGAGCGGAGATCTCATGGCTCGTAGCGGCCGGATCAACTTCCTCCGAGTTCTGGCTTTCGACTGTTGGAACAACCAGTATCTCAGGCGCGCCGGCCTTGCTTGTGTTCGATTCCTTCGATAGAATAAATTGAAAAATAGAAATATTGAATATTATATTAAAATATAAGACAAAATATACTAAAACATAATTGCGATACATACCGACACAGTTCCAGCTCTAACTATGACGGTTCTATTATTTTTGCACACATCTTTGCTCTTGGTGCTCGTTGCTGAACTGGTTTGATTGTTCGTAGATACTATAATGGGTGCTCTGTCAATCTGTTCTGCTACGACAGACGAATGTCCTTCGTTAGCGTGATTAGATTTCAATTTATCCTGAAACATAATAATACAATATTTGAATTAATATATGTTTTTAACGCGTTTGCTGAATAAGAACATTTAATTTGAAAGCGCTGCTTTTTGATATTGTAGAAAAAAATAGTACCGTATATTTGATAGGATTAGAACTCTCTCCAGTTGAGACGGAGTTTCTTCTAGATTCTGGATTAAAATTCGAAAGTGGTCCTTGTACCACTTGACCGAATGTCGGAATTGTTACGTTCTGACCGTCTGTACCTCGTGCGGAGAGACCCAATCTCGTCGGCAAACCTTCCAAAGGATTTTGGCTAGATCCTGTATTAGAAGTCGGTTGTCTCGGAATACCGAAAAGATCTTCCCGTCTCGAGTGTGGCTGCAATAAATGTGGCTGATCAGCTAACGGCAACGCTTCACTCATTACAGTGTCAAATGGATCTAGAGGCGGGCAACCAAGGCACAATGTGGAATCTGATCTTTGTAAGAAAGGATGTTTCCTTCCTTTCGGTGTCGAATTGCTGTGATTTCCGGATCCGCACATGGGCACTTGAAGTATGTCCGGGTAATCCACGGAATCTGTCTCCATGGCGGTTGGTGCCGGTGAATTATATTCCTCGCTTTCGTCATTATCGTTTTCGTCCTAAAAATAAAACTTTGTTGTAAAAATTTATATTTTTTGTCCAAATCTCGTCAAAAAGTTCAAGAAAAACCTAACGTCAATTGTTGCGTAATTAATTTCACAAACCTGATCGTTCCAACTGGAATAACTTGACGATTCTTTTTGAGTCTCGCCTCTATTAGCAAGCGGTTCTGAGAGAGAACGCATGTAGTATACAAGCGCGTCGAATACATAAGCGACGTGTCTTAAAGCGGAAACATCTAGAACTGGTAAGCTGTCTCTATGCTCGCTGTTGTGAGCGCGCATTAATGACAAACAGTAGGATAAGAATTCACGTCTCGCCGAGTGTGCGTCGCCACCTAAAAAACATCGCAAAAAAAAAAAAAACAAATTGTTAAAATTCTCTCTTCATTGCACTGTTAAAAAATTTAAGTTTAGCTGTAATAAAATTACGTAACAAAAATATAAATATCGCAAAGATACACAGTTGAAACAAAACAAACCTTCGCGTTCCCTACTGCTCCTCGGAGGCTCGCCAACGCCTGCAAAACCAACGGTGAGTCGTGTTGAAGCTTGGGGAGTGGAGATATTCGAGCTCGTAGCGATACCACTTCGAGGATTCCGACCTGTATTTCCTTGAAGAGTCAACGAGAGCGCGGCCGTGTTGAGCAAACCGCTGAAATTACCACCGGACAGAGATGGGGCGTTATTAAGAGGATGTTCGGGGTGGGTCGGATCGGCGCTACGCGTTAAAGATACTCCGAATCTCAACTGTGCCTCCGTAGCATCCATTACCGTGACCAACCAGTCCCAGGTGGGCTTTAAGTGCGCTTCCAAATAAGACTGTAATCAGACACAGTTCTCGTTAATCTAACACGTCGTCTGAAAGCTACTTTTGCGCGCGACGAAATAAACGTGCCTAACACGTACCTGCAAACTCAAAGCGTCCTGGAAAGTGATTTCCATCAGTCGCGGCAAGGTGGGTGCTAAATTCTTATAATCCTGCATCATAACCAACAGATCGGCAATTTGACGAATAACAATTCCGAAAGCTCGCGCCAGACAACTAGCGGTGGTCCCCATGGTAATAGGTTCCTGTGCGGTCGCGACAGCCGACGTGGCAGTGGTGCGTCTTAAAGATGCAGGATCAATGAATACCAGATTACTTCCACCTGTTACCCGTAATCCCGCCGTACGCGTACTCGATTCACGATTGCGTATCGCCCATTGCATATACACGGGTGCGAGATTATTACGGTGTAAATGACCAGACGATCCACTGAAATAACATGTAAGCGATTACATCCCCAAAGTATCCTATTTTCCGGAATACTTTGCTTATTTTTTGCATTCGCATACTTTGCTTATTTTTTGCATTCTGATCGCTTATGAATCGTCTTTATTCTGTTTAGGCAATGTAGTCGAACTTGAATAAAATGAAATCTTTGCAAGAAGAAAAGTAAACTTTTTACGAAAGAAATTCTTTTGTTACTTTAGCGGTTATTTCACTATAATAAAGTACGACTGTATATATTTGTATATAAACGCGAAGAGAGACGCGAGACATATAAAACGTTATTGAGAAAGTGAAAACACTGCCGAGAAAAGATTAGGAACAGTTTACCTTCTGCGTTCTAATTGCTCATCACCAATTTGGAACTCTTCGTTATCTTGCTCATCTGTTTCTCCCGCTTCGCTTTCGTCGTCCTCCTGTTGGCTCGATTCTCCCGACTCGTCCTCGGGAAACAACAATATCGATCCCATTCCGCCGTCGGAGCCGGCGGTTGCGCCAGTTTGTACACTACGTTGCGCAGACGCTGCGTCTTGATTGCTATGATTGTCGTCCGAATCGGATTCAGTTTCCGCTTCCGCTAAGAGATCCAATTCCGTGTCTGATTCTCCGTCACCAGCCTGTTCCTCACCCACACCCCCGGCGTTTGAATCTACCTCACCGAGTGGTTGACTAGCGGCAGTTCCAGAAACACCAGATTCTTCATGTTCGCTTATATCGCCGTCTATATCCATAGGTACTTCTACGTAAGCAATAATTTTGTGTGAATTTAAATAGCTCGCATGCGAAGTAATCAATTTTATTAAAAAAAAAAAAAAAATACAATTTAAAGTATACCTTCTCCACCTTCAGCCTCATCCACAGCGGAAACATCTCCTCTTGAGATTGTTATATTATTATTTCCTTGCTGCGTTTGCAATGCCGCGTCTAATGTTTGTGAAGTAACACCACTGTGTGGTATCAGAGGTTCTATAGAAAACAGTTCCTCCGAACCATTGATCACTTCAATAGCGGAACTTGTTAGAGTAAATGGTGCCGTAGGACGAGCTACACCTAATCTGACTGGCGCTATCAACGAATCTGCCGTTTCGCATAATTCCTCTACAGCTAATTTAATTAGCGCTTGGAACACTTTTCGACACTTCATTAAAGGTTGCGACGCTTGGTTTGTGCTAAAAATAAAATATCTGATATTGATACTGTATTGTTTATGAATGTGAAAATTATCTCATGTATTCAAAATCACTCGAGTTCTATTGTATTGCAATTTTTGATAATGAAAAGAAGGAGAGAGTTGCCAATTAATAGATTACCATAAAAACACGGATATAGAATGAAACACGTGAAATTTTTTACCTTCTTCTTTTGGTTGTATTTGGTGCCATTTCTATAGTGAAAATAACAAATATGCGTGCTACAGATCTTACAAATCGACGTGCCACGTTGTTCGCTTCTTCCTGTCGTCCAGGCACAGACTCGTCTTGCAATTCTCGAATCAAAGTGGTAAGTAACGTATCGAGCATCTGCAATATCACAAAATACATTAATATTCGACATAATACCGATCTTTTTCCATCTTTTATATTGATTTAATAATAAAAATGAAATAACGATATCTTCGTATTATATTCGATTATTTTTAAGTTTTGCTCCGCTTACTTCTGCGCTGCATTTAACAAGTAAAGAATGCGTGAATTTATCCAGCAGCGCGGTACCACTTTGTCGACAAAGCTGTCCTTGGTCGCCGAATAATTGATCAGTACCGTTTTCAGAAACACCCGACATAATCATACATTGAACAGCAGGCCAATCGTTCAACAATCTTTCAAGTGCTTTTCTACTGAATCGAGGAGGTTCCAAATCATGATCAGGCATATCCGACTCTGCTCCTAAACCTGCAAAAAACAACTCTACGTGCTCACAATCAATATATGCATTATTATACACGTATGAGTTAAACCTCAAACATAACAATTAAAAAGAAAAACTTGTGAAAGATGTATACCGTCCGAAGTTGGAGCTTTACGACTAGCCGAAGTTGAGCGTTGTCTAGGTGCCGATCGAAACTGACGTTGCTCGACCAATTGTCTTCCGACTGTTTGCACTAAGAACAACAGGATGCTTTCACCTCTGAATAAAAAATACACCCATGAGATTAAATGTCACTTAAAAAGAATCAATATATGTGCGTATACATACAAATACACATTGATTCTTTTATATGTATATATATGTGTGTGTATGTATACAGAGATCACTTATGACAGGACTATTCTTCAAAACCTGCAACGGTTCCAAAAGTATGATCCAATCATAAGTAATTATCTCTCAACCGTTGTGCAACTGTTGAGTTGTCTGAACGCACCCTATATATACACACATATATACACGTAGTATTTATTTTGTGCAATGTTCACAAGATTTGAACTTCACCTTGAATTGATTTTTGTAGCAAGATCGGTGCTATTTACGAGACGACACAGCAAATCATATCTAGCACCTTGATGACCAGCAATGAGAGCGCGACACTTGCATTTCTCCCAACAATCGCAATACGCTGTGGGAGAAGTTCTCTTCAATTTGCAATCGTGACCTCTGTGACAGACACGAGCGCATTCAGTACAACAGCACAAAGATCCTGTTAATCCGCAAGTTCTGCATTCAAAAATGTCCTTAAAATAAAAACAAAATTAATAAAATTATTCCACTAGATAACATTACATGATAATGTAATATATCAAACGAGAGTATCTAGTACTTGATTAATATGTTCAGCTCCAGTCCATGTAAAACTACACGTATCGTTACAACAAGTAACAAATAACGGCGAAAGATCCGGACTGGCGTCAGCCGGCAGTATCATGGCTGATGTGTCTTTCGCATCTCTGCCTACTCTTTGTATAGTGTCCAATAAGATGAGAGCTGCGTGATACGCACGAACCGAAACAGCGAGCATAAGTGGTGTTTGTCCTTGAGCATCTCTTTTTGTGCAAAACAAAAAAAAACAATTAAAAAGTTACACAAAAGAATTACTGCTCAAAAATTAATATATATATCTCAAATCAATATATATATATATATATATATATATATATATATATGTATTCTGTTTTGCTTCAGAGTTGCATCTGAGCTCAGTTTCTTACTTTGCTGTGAGTAATTCTCGTAAGTGTGGCGATAAAATGTTACTTTCACACATGTATTTTAATATAAGCAATGCATTATGTCGTCTCTCAATAGAATCCGTAATATACGTGTTATTAGATGTTGTTCCAACTCCTAAAAAAATACCAAGATAAAATGTTAAATAAAATTTTATTAATGTGAATAGATAAAACTAGAAATTCGTATATTTACCGGACTTATTCATCATAGATATACTAGCAGCGCCTATGCTTAACAGACTGTCCTCTTCTCCTGATGTATTATCGAACGCTTCGGGCGGCCAACTCAATGTTGGAATTGGCTCTTCGATTGGCGCAGAAGTGCCGTCTACTGTATTCGATACTATTTCGCGTTCAATAACTTTGATAAAATAAAAAATGAAATTAAATTAAAAAAACCTCTTGTACAAAGAGATCATATCAAAGTTTATCTTGCAATTGTATTGAATACCCACCTTGTTCAGTTTCCTTATTAGATGTCGGTGAACACATATTGATACAGGCATGAAATATATTTCGATTTCCATCACAACGTTCTTTCAGTATCATTTGAATTTGAGTGTTTGCATTCGAGTACGTTAGATTACTCTCTGTAAAATATGTTATAAGTGCTGTTTCGTATAAGTTATTTACAATATGTATATATGTAGAATTTATTATAAATTTTTATAGATGTAAATTATATAAAAATTTATTATAACGTATATCACAAAACATAAAAAATTACATTTGTATATAATCTATATACACTTACTTAGATCTTGTTCCAAATTACAAAACACCTGCTTTACACTCTCGTAATCGCATCGCAATATACGCGGCATAAGTAAAAGATTGTCGAATGCTAATGCGATAACGGCAACCTGATTTTTTAAGTTACTTGAATTGGAGCAACTGGGAATTGGAATAGTTGCCGCACCAATACAGCTTACGGGAACTAGATCCAACCAACTAGGATCGCGTATGGCATCGGCGCAATCTTTCGCGATTGGATAAATGGTATTGTTACCATCGCGTAAGATCATAGAACATTCAATATTCTGAAGTATAAACATTAGTTTTTACTAAGCTTGCTATATATATTTCAATTATTTAATTGCTTTACTGACAAGACTATTGTAATTAATAATAAAAACTTATTAATTAATAATTTAATCAAAATATACAAATAATATATTTTTTTTTCGTTATGTAATTAATTTAAACTTTATATAGATGTAACAATTCTATGTTAACATACACACCTCTCCTGCATTTGTAAGATTAATATTCTGAGGTTGCAATCCCAAAAATGACGATATATCAGATGGAATATAACAATCTTGAAGATACCTTCCTGTACTTAAACTGTAAACCACATAACTCAACTTACTTCCACTTTTTAATATAGCATGAATACCTGTTAATATAGGTTTTTATTAATTTTTGATAAAAACTAATATAATATAATGTATAAAACTTATTTATAAAATATTTATATTAAAATATTTATATTTTTTATTTAAAAAATAAATTAGTATATAAAAATGGTTAAAAATAATTTTACACAAATACGAAAAACGATACTTACCTTGTCCGTCGGTAGATATAGTTAACAAACTATCGTTTGAACCTTCTCCAATACTGACTCTTCGAGGTGTTCTTTGGAAACAATCGGGAGCTCGTGGATTTAAAGATGACTTTATCACCTGAAAGCATACAAATCAAATGTTAAAATGTTTAGTTAAACACTTTACGTGCAATAAACAGACACGAGATTAATACCTGAAGTTCATCTTTACGCAAAAGTCTACAATCAGCTAATAATTTCATTGGCTCTTCTGTTGTAAGATCTTTTAAATCAGATGTGTTAAAATCTTTTTCTTTTGTATCTTTCTCTTTCGAATCCTTCGAAAAAAATTTCACTGCCACATAGCAACCATCAACTTTTAGGACTCTCCCTATAATAAAAAAAAAAAAAATAAATAAATAAATAAAATATATTACGCGACAACTTTTATTCTTAAATAAGTGCGATTAAACGTACGTACCAATAGGTACAGTCTTGACGTCTTCAACAAAAACGACATCTTTCAATTGCCAGTCTTCTTCGTCCTTTCTCTCAGATTCCCCTTCGCTTCGAGGTGCCATGCGTTTTTGTCGCTCTAAAATTTTACACGTAATTAGTAAAATGTTTTATAAACTATTCAAAAACTGGTATATTATTTCTCAAAATCATTCTAAACATCTTACTATGGCTTGTAGTGATGCTGCCGGTATCGCTGCAAGTGCTCGAGGCTGGCGATGGCGGAGGCGGCATGTCCAGTCTGTCGGCAGTTTCTTTGTGATTCGGTTTGTTTACAACTCCCGTGCCTCCGTTTCCATTAGACTCGCGCTTATCGGCACTCGAATTGGACAAGTGTGCACCAGCAGGTAATATTTTAAACCTGCACGTAGCATCCATATTCCACGCCGCTGATAGCAATTGTCCTACTTTTGGCACGCCGTTAGATATTGTAAATCCTAAAGAAAAAAGCATTGGACATTACGACACACCTGCTTATATGTTTTTTCTCTCTCACATACGCACACAAACTCGTTTTAGTTATAACTTAAAGACTCAACTTGTAAGATATACATAAAACTATTACCTATGGCTCCTGGTTGATAAACCGGGCTATTTTTCATACAGACGTGCGATCCGTAGCTAATATCGCTGGACAACACGGTAGATGGTCTATGCTTGCGTGATTTAGCCTTGTACTTTTCCCACAGTCTTTTACGTTGTACAAATGGTAGAACACCCCTGTGAAAAAAAAAAAAAAAGAAAACAAGCAATTAGAAATCTTACATATTATATGTGTTGTGTTGAAGTTTGTATAGAAATACAAAACGATCATACTAACCACCAATACAATGTTCCACTTTCGAGTCTCGCGACAGTGTACAGAGCGCACGTGTGAAGTGACACGATTTTATCGAGCGTAAATTCAGTGAAAGCTTGCGCCGGATGTTCGAGACGAGAAGCAACATGTGACAAAAGCTCATCAAGCCAAGTTGCTACTTTCCCGCTCTCAGTACTAACGGAACATCGGATTGCCGTAGCGGATATATTGACTATTTTTTCGGATGTCAATGCCAGGGGTATAGTTTTTGGATGATGCACGGTCGGATTCTACAATAATCAGGCCGAAGATGATACACATACTTCCCGGAAATATATGGGAAAAGTATAAAATTGTAATATCAAACTATTGCAAATATACCTCTGGATTCTTATAAGGTTCAGTTTCTGTCCATTTCCATTGGTACAATTGTCCCGTTGTGGAAACGGCAATTAACTCGCTGTAGAGCGAAACGATCTGCACGAAACGGGTTACTGGATCGCCACTGCGATCGTGCCACCACTCCAACTCATCGGATATCCATAATGGACTCTGAGAAGCTAGTTCCTTCTTTTTATTATCTGAAATATCACAGACTACAAAGTCAAAATTTTGCTCAATAAATGACACTTATAATTAATTTTATAAAGGTTTTCATGTAAAATACCTGAATCCTTCTCCCATGAATCTTTGAGAGCAGTTTCCAACCAGCGACGTGGTCCGTAATATTGACGCTCTCGCCATCTGCTAAAATTATCGCGTTCTCGGTCTCTTTCATGAGATGAACGTTCACCTTCCCTATCGTTACCTAAGCGGCGCGAAGAGCTTCCGCGACTGTAGAAATACAATTTTCTTAGAACACAGATATATGAACAAAAACTCTAATATGTATATATATTCAGATGTATTCAAAAAGTTAATTACTGTCTTATTCCAGTGTATCCAAACATATCTTCTGAAAACATGGAATCAGCATCAATTATAACGGAATGCTCGTTGCTAAAGCCACCGTCTAATAATGATATAAGATCTTCGGGAACATAACTGTCAGCTGCATCTTCCGCATCATCACCTTCTTCGTCCTCTCTTGACAACAGATTGTTTACTGCTAAGTTTACATCTAAATTTGTACGCTGAAAAATTTTTTAAATAAAATATATTCATTGTTCGCTTTCATGGATCCGTCTATATGTTGTTATTGTTGATGTTAATACCTGTAACTCTCTGATAATCAAATTACGACTTTTCCCTTGCAATACTACTTGTGCTTGCGATATAAGATCTTCAGGAACAAACGGTGCCGGTACAGATGCGATTGGACGCGAACTGCTACCACTTCCTCCTCCCATGATCACTCCTGGTGGTCCTATGCGACCACCGCTACCACTGCCACCTCCGCTGCTACCACCGCGAATTGCAGAGCTGCTACGCATAATTCGCGCACGTGAGCGAGACATTCCAGTTCTGCTGCCACTACCGCTACTTCCATTCCCGTTCGGGGTGGAATTGGAATTTCCAACATGACTTTTATTTGTACTAAAGTAAAACAGATTAATTTGTATTTTTTTCTTTTAGGTTAATCTGAGATATGCTGTTTTTTATATTTACTTTCTATTAGGTTCATTTTTACTCAAGTCCAATCTATCGGATAGCACTGTAAATGCAACTCTACATATTCTATTGTCTTCTGTAAGAAGAGCGATATGAGTTGGTCCAACCACAACACGCTTTATAGATACTTTTAGACCATTGAAAGCTGATGGTGTTACAAATCCATATCGGTTTATTTTATCCGCTACCTCCCTCAACCTAAAAAACAAAAAGAAATCAAAAACATCAAATAATAGTAACGAATGAGCTTATATAAAAAAAAATTGATTACTAAGGCAAAAGTTATTTAGTAATACATTAAAAAAAAATTTGAACTAGATTTGGTTGCTTAACATATTTCATTATGTGACTTAATTTATATTGATGTTTAATTATTATAGACTGGTATATAGACAGTTGGAAGCATAACAGCCACAAAAAAGTCAAATTAAATCTAAAAAATTAAATTATATATCACTTCTTTTTTTTAGATGTATATTTTATTTCAAGTAATATTGTATCTCTAAAGTACAATATAAGAATGATTTGACATTATTTTTTTTTTGATATAGAACATCCATTAATATAAATTATTCATAGAGGTGCTTCATAATATTATTTAATAATGATATGTTTTTGCATATGTATATTTGCCGTAGGCCCTTTAAAACATTTTGGATTCGCGAGTTAGATTTCGCAAAGGCACGCGCATTACATTTATCTCATCCAAGTGCGACAATTGCATTAGAAACCATGTTTATAGGTTGCCATTGTGCCTGCATCTTGTGAGCATATTTGCCGAAGCGAACATGCACTTTTATTCGTTTGCATGTTCGTGCGATAAAACGGCGAATGAAAGCAACTGATGTTGAAAAACGTGTCGCAACATACATCAATGTGAAAAAAAAAAAAAAAAACGCGTTCATACGGATAACAAATGCGTTAGATATGCATGCAACAAGAAAAAAGATGCGTAATGAGAAACCGATACACGGGATTGAGGAATACCGTACCTGTCATTAAGTTGGTCGTCCGTTCCCGGTAAAGGATGTACGACAAAGTGAATCGAAGTCATGACTTTCAGTCACGTTCCACCACACAACGCGTCGGATTCTAATCGTTTATTGTACACAAAATTTCACCGCACTACAGCAGAACGATGCAGAACGATGTTCCGCCATGTTTCCAATGAAACATCTACTTCCACTTCCCGTGTTCTCAATATGGCGAGAGCTCGGAACCGTCGAGTTCGGAAACACATAAAGGCATCACACATAAAATTACTTAAGGCCATCACACAGGCCATCCACGATGGAAGTAGGTATTAGTAAAGGCCGAAGCACAGACTTTTGCATAACGCATAAAGCATAAGACACAAGAGAATCAACCAATCAAAGCTTTCTGAAACAAAAAATAGGGATAAAAACAAAAAGCTGGATTGGTTGATTTTTTTATGTCTTATGCGTTGTGCAAAGGACTGTGCTTCGGCCTTTAAGTAATTTTATGTGTGATGGCTATGATATTTTTACATACAAGATTTTTTGTCTGAAAATATCCACGATATACTCCAATTAATTTTATAAAATGTTAATAAATTATATTTTTGTTTATAACATTCAAATAGAAATAAAGAAAGAAAGCGCTTCTTCTAGAAGTTATAAATTTGTCGTTTTATATCTTTGTAATAAGGAACAATATGTTACTTTGTGGTCCTTAAATGCTTAAACTATTAGCTACTCACTAGTGTGAAAACGTTTAACAATAATGTTAACAACATAGTTTTAATCTTTAAATGTACAAAGACCACACTGTCGTACATCTATTGTTTTTGCTTTGCTTGTATCAGTTTGTTAAATAAAACTGTCAATTGAATAAAATGATTCATAAAACATCAGTTCTAAAAACAATTCAATGTAACAATGCTTCATGTTCTTTCTTTTTCTATCAACACAGAGTGTAACCAAATTTTTTATACGCAGAATACTTATTCAAAAATTCAGTTAATTTGAACATATAAATTACGACGTAATTTAAATAAATAAAGTAAAATATTAGTCTAAAACTTTTGAAATTTTATGCCTTTATCGTACACACACACATTATAAATATATACGTACATACGCATATATACATATGTATACACATATGGGCGTCCGCAAGATTTTTTTTCAGGAGGGCGGAGCAATTTTTCCGTCCGAAAAATTATAAATTTTACAGTAAGGTTTCACTGTACAGAGAATTTTCACGAATAGATGTATGATTTAATTTGTTAACCAGGGATTTCAAGCTTGTTTCGAGATAAAAAACACAATTAGTGAAAAAACTTGCCTCCAGGGAGGGGCAAATGCCGGGTTTCTCCCCCCCTGCGGACGCCCATGCATACATACATATGCATCATGTTAAAAACTAGTTTTTTCTTTATCACAGGAATAGGAATAAAGAGAAAAAAAACTACAAAAATATATTCTGCCGTATTAAATTTAATACAGTAAAAAGCAATTAACGCGCTTATTTCATATTTAATCATAATATAAATATCTTTACGCTTTTAAAAATATATATATTAGTAATTTTTTTAAGTAAGTTTTATATGAATTTATTGCAACATGAGGCAAACAAAAATAAATACGCTATTTAATCCATTTGCCACTTATATATAAACGTATCAAGTTCTGAATCGGATTCATAACTGCTTATAAATTCGTCGAAAAATTTAACGTGTGAGAAATGCGGTAAAAAGTGTCTTTTGTCATTCCACTGAAAGGTTTATGCGGAAGTAACAAAGTGTTGATATCAAAGACTTAGTGGATGTAAGAGGTAGGGAATCTCTCTTCCACAGTTCTCCCGTGGTTTTTGTCCAAATAATGTCTACTATAAATGTGAACTATAACGATATTACGTAATCTTCGTTTTTGTAAACTACATCCAAAGTGTTAAGTAGTACTTAATATCGAGGCAACATTGGGGCACACGGTCTTTCTCTTCGGGACATAAGTAAAATGACGGACTCGTTATACATCTCTGCAAACATTGCTCCGTCAAAGCTCCTTTAAGAGATTTGACTTTGCATTTCTAACTTTATCCAATCGCCTGTGTAGATGTGTGTTTTCCGCTTCCAACTCTTCTACTCGATTTTGTGTTTCTCTTATCTGAAAATAAAATTGTCTTTTAGACGCGGATACAGATCTATATCTTTCTAAATCAGTTTTTATGTGTGTTTATGTATGAATCATGTTTTCGTATCTACAACAAGAATTAATAATAGTCATACTTCTCTTTGCAATTTCCTCTTTTCTACTTTCAATTCATCTTCCGATTTTTCAGACGCTTCCGCAGCTGACTTATAACGAATTACTTGACTTTCCAATCTAGCTACTGTTGCTTGCAGCGTGGACGTATCCTGTTCCGCTTTTTGTAATTTGAATTTATAATCCGCCAACAATTTATTTGCTTCGCGTTGAACGTCGTCGTTGTCCGATAAGTAACCTGTCACAAGAGACACAACGGATAAGTACATGTTGCTGTAATTCAGTCATTTAAAACACATTTGTAATTCAATACTGAACCAGATGATCTTTCAGATCTCATACGGTTTCTAGTTTCTTCAAGTTCTAATCTTAAATGCCGAATTTCATCCTGCAATTCTTTTTTTTCGGAAGCAAATTTTCTCAGTCGAACATCTGAAATAATTATAATTTAAAATACCGTACAACAATAAGTTCTATTTATTAGTAGAGTAATAACTTTATAAACTGATAATCGCACATACCTAATGAGCCTTTACCAGCCGTTTCTAATAACTCTGCAGCTTCCGTACTGACTAGTACTCTCTTTCTACGGCACGGTCCGTTTCCTAAATTTTCATTATTCTCGTCTTCACTTCCCTCATCGTCAACAATGACTAAACCGTTTTCCTAAATAATGTTTATATTAATCTTGTGTGCAAGACGAAATAAAAATAGTACCAAAGCTTTTTATTACACTTATATAGTAAAACAGTATTGAATGAATGCATACTTGTATAAGCGTATCTCTTTCTAATAATTGTGCTCTGTAAATATCTAAGTCTTCCTTTAATCTTTGACTGATTCGTTTTAACTGTTCCACATCTCGATTCTTTTCTCTCAATTCCCTACGTAACTGTGCAGCTGTTTCTTCGAATTCTTCAAGCTTATCTTTTAACAAATCGACTTGATAGGCGTAAGACGATTTTTCGTTGTCTAACTGAGCATTGGCTATCATTGCTTTCCTGAACTTCTCTTCGAATTCTTTCAATTCCAACTACAAACGAATACAGCAAAATTTTACATTTTTATCTTATACGTTATAAAAAAACGGAGATTCACAAAACATCAAATTGCAAACGTACTCTCATATCTCTGCTTAATCCTGCATCTTCTAACGAATCTTCCGAGGATCTACGACTTGGCTGAAAATTGTTGGAATTTGTGAGAAGTCGTGATGTACGAACCGGATCCGGAGTTACTCTCATAGTTCTATTCACATCAGCTATAAATTAAATATAAACAAAATATGTAGCAGGAACAGTGCGTTTTACTAGCGCGTTACCAAACCGCGTTCATCGTTTATAAACTACCTGTACACATATCATAAACTCTATCAGCGTTTTCTTCCGCTTCTTTCTGTTGTCTCTCCAATTCACGCATTCGTATTTCTCTAGCTTCCGCTCTTGCTTGTCTCCTAGCAGCCAGTCTTGCTTCTGCCTGAAAGTATGTATGGAAAATCCAGCCTGTTACCAAAAACACATGTTTACATTTGTTTTATTATTAAAACATCACCATAGTATAAAGCTTCTTCGTTAACATCTATTAGAAAAAAGCGAAGCATGACAAAAAACAATTGGACTAATAAGCAATAGTGTCAACCCACAATGAACAATGAAATAGTGAGATATTTATATAGTGTACTTCTTTGGCTATCAAAGAACATTTTTCAATGTTTTTAAAAATTTAAATATTTTAATATATCAAAGATACACAAACATCTTAAAAAATATATATAAACATTGTTTTTCTTTAATCTTAAGGCATAATTTATTCAAAATGTAAGTTGATACTTATTTGTATTGCATATTATTGTCGAATTATGCAATCTTTGTAGGAAAGTAATCTGTTTTAAGTTTTTTTTTCTTTTTTTTTTTTTTTAATAGAAAACAAAAAATTACTCAAATATAATTTGTTATGCGCGCTCGCGCTTGCTCGCTCGCTCACGCACACATACACGGACACGCACACACACGCACGCACACATACACACGTGCGGGCGCACGCGCGCAAATTAAGCTAATACCAAAGCTAACAAATTAAATACAAAATTAATTAAATATAGAAATTGAAGAACTCGTCACATTACTAAATATGATGTAATACATACATAAAGCCTATTGTTTGAAAGAAATATTAAACTTACATATAAGTAGAAAGCAACTTAATAAATAAAAATAAAATAAAATATAAACATATTATTTATTAATAATAAGTAGTTAGTTATATTACAATTATAATTCATAAAATTATTTTTATTGATTTCTGCAGTAATTTGCTTTACAAAATCTGTCTTTTTATACAATATCGTAAATAAAATAAATATAGCCCCCACACACACGTTCTATAGAAATTATAGAATTTGCAGAATAAGTGCATGCAGCTATGTGCAAAGCATTATCTTAAGCTAATAGCAAATAAATTTAATGCTCTTTCCTGTTGGTGCTAATTTAATATAAGCTAATGTGCAATATATCGTTTTCGAGTATTGAACAAAAAATAATATCAAAAAACATATATATACTGCAAAATTTTAGAAAAAAATTATGTGCAATAAAATAGTACAGATTTATAGAATGGAACATTAAACCATTACCTTTTTTAATATAATCTAGTATATCTTTGTACATCCTTACATTCCGTGCATACTATAAAAATTTTTTTAAGTTTACATGTTTTATTGAGGTCATACCTCTTTAGCTATTTGATCAAGCGCTTGATCTTCTGCAGAATGCCGTGTGGCAGTCCGCCTTCGTCCAGCAATAGCTGATTCCATTATGAATTTCTTTCCTTAGAACTTTTCTTTCAACTGACTCTAGCTAGGAAAATCCACGTCCAACACCACACACTAGGTAAAAATGATTAGCTAAGGACAATGTATACATTGTAAGCCAGTGGTTATTAGCAAGGACATTATCATAAATCAACTCTGGACAACATTTTATTATTTCTTTCTCAGCATTGTAAGTATACTTGTTTTAAATAAATAAATAAATAAATACATACATACATACATACACACACACATACATATATACCACACACATACACACACCCGCACACACGCATGTGTATGTACATATACACGTACATACACATACACACACATATGTATGTATGTATGTATATACATATAGACATGTATATAATCAACTTCAAAGAATTTTCAAATTTTAGTAAATATTTTAGTAAAAAAAACATTTTATTAGTTTACTAAAGCTTAATTGTTTTAAACTTTTCAATTTATATTGTTTATATTTATATTGTTTCAATTACCATTTTATATGAAAATCACATTTGTTCTCACATATAAAAAATAAATATATAACATTTAAACAAAACTATTGCAATAGCAATAAAAATTTCCTTTGTCAAACAAAAAATTAGTTTTTATCAGAAGTGACCAAACTCATCGTTGTAATATATTTATTGTAAATAAATTTTTATTTACGATAAATATTTATTGCAAACTTATATTGTGCATATAAAATTTTGATTTAAGACCAATAACATTAAAAAGCAATAGATACGTAGAAAAATATATATGTATACTCCAATATACTTATATATATATATATATATGATTTGAGATAAGATAAATATCTCAGATTTTTATATAATATATTATCATTCGAGCTATAATCATAAATTATGTCCGTGTACATATGTAAAAATACATGTAAAACAATGAAGTTTTTACACAAGTAATATAGCTAAGATATTTATATGTATAAATACACATATAGTTACATGTATATAACTTCTACAACAATATATTTGTATCGCAACTCTTTGGCGCCGTTCAACTCACTTTTAGCAGGTGAGTGTTGCACTTACGAGTAGGACACGTCGTCAGCCAGCGGATAAATGCATATTTTCTCGACCAAGAAGCGCACGCGAAAATATCCGGGCACACACTATAAATACAATCGATAGAAATCGGATGACTTCGTTGCAATGACCATCTGTGGAACTTGTGATTGTGTGGCGGTGCGATTTTGCGATCTCAACTTTGGGCCCTGCTTATCCCGTGTGATGTACACACGACGACGATGACAATGACGATGATGATGAGGATGATGATACGTGAGCACGACAAAAAATTCCGTTTCCACAGTAGCGCTCGTTTAGAGAAACTACGCGCAAGATCTTCTGGCAACCGGCAACAACTGCTGACGAATTCGTTCAAACGCGAGGACTGGCGAATGTGATATACGTAGCCACTTTCGAGTCTAGCGGAAGATACATTTTTTTTCGGTCGCTCGTACACCGCTCCGCAACCTTCGCGCACCGCTCAACAGGGACAGTAACGTAAGCGAGACACGCAAAAGTACCGCACCGCACCCCGCTCAGAGGTGATCAACGAAGGTTTGTTCGCGTCGCACGCCCCAACGTGCTCCTACTCGCCCCAACGCGCCCTAACAGCGAATTCGGTAGCCCGGCATTACCGCGCGTTAAGTGCGACTTTTTTTATTGAAAAAGTTTATTAAAAAAGTTTTGAAGTTTCATTAAAGTTTCGTTGAAAAAAAGCGCGTTGGAGCGAATAGGAGCATGTTGGGTGCGTGCGACGCGAACAAACCTCGAGAAACACTGGTCTAGTTTCCACCGAAACCCTCAATTCGGTTTCACTCCGATGCAGATCAAATTTTAGTGTTCTGTTTCCATTGGAAGTAGAGTAGGGATTGAGGACGACGTCCCATTGAGCGGAAATCTATAGCGGAACGGAATGCGCGGAACCAGCTCGACCAATCATAGAATATATTCTGTGCATCTCCATAATTAAATATCACAGATTTCAATTTTTTAACGTCGTGCCTATCGATACTTCTGCTCTTCGTGATTTTTCCAAAAACAGTCTTCTTTTCTGCAAAAGTTTTTTAAACACTACAAAAAGATTATGATTTATTTTCCGCTTCATGTATTTTTCCTTCTTATGTCCCATTAAAGCGGTAAACGCGGCAGCGTAATCAAGTTTTATTCAATTGTGAAATAGTTTTATTTTTTGTTAAAAATACATTATAAAAAATCTTTGTCGTACGACAAATGTAATACCAGCCTAAAGCCTGTGTCACACTACGGATTAGGATTGAGATTGGATTGCAATTTGGCCAATCAGAGCGAAGATCACTAAACTTAGGATTTGGTTTTCTTTCTTCTGATTGGTCAAATTTCAATCCAATTCAATCCAATCTCAATCCCAATCCGTAGTGTGACATAGGCTTAAAGCCTAGACTTAAAAAAGTAGCTGAGTTTGTCCTCGCCGCCACAAGCGCACCAAAACCAAAAAGTAATTGGTGTATATTTTATTAGTTTAATTTTTGAAGCAATACAAGTCACGGTAAAGTTTTGTACTGAATAATTAAGTCATAAATAAGTAAATTACAAAATACATGTGATCTTATGGAAAATGTTTGGTACAGGAAGACATTGCTTGAAACAAGTTTTAAGAGCCAAGCATTTGCATTTGTACAGTAAAAGATTTAAGAAAGCTCAGCTGAAAGCCGTACCAAGTGAGTAATTACAGAATTATAAATATTGCATGAGTTTATGTAATTAATAAGATTAAATTAATTTTTATGTTTTTTTCCAATAGTTTATCAATATCCTGTAAGTCAGCCAGACGATTATAGGGTGTATGTATGGGGCCTTGCGCAACACGGTGCTCTTGGAGAAGTAAGAATATTAAAAAAGGACAAAGTTTCGTATGTAAAGAAGCCAAACAGATTATCTTTTGCTGAATATCATAAAGTAAGAGACATTGCTTGTGGATACGGTTTTACTGCTTATGCGGTAAATTCTTCAGATAAAAATATTGTTTATGGCACTGGAATAAACACAGATTCGCAAATTGGTAATTAAACTATTTAACTACTACACTGACTACTTTAGCTGTATTAAAATTATCAGGCTATTTTTGTTTCATTAGAAACAGGATTTGATCTTGAGATTCATATTAAAACTTTTTTCTACAGGTTATAATGAAATCGATAAAAAGAAGTTTCCCGAAGGTATGGTGTTCTTTCCAAGACCAATAAATTTACCTCTACAAGACAATGTTACAAGGGTTGTGGATATGGGTGCTGGAAGAGCGCATTTATTAATATTAACAACGGAAGGTCTATTCACATTGGGCAATAATGCATATGGTCAGTGTGGCAGGCCAATTGTATTAAATGAAGAATACAAAAAGAGCATGGTCATTCATCATATACCTGACATTAAGGGAAGTAAAATTATCGCGGTGACTGCTGGTCAAGATCACAGGTATTGAAACTTTTATCTGCTATTATTTATACAATTATTGTCTTTCCCCATTTTTCTTATTAATATTATTCTCATTAATATTATAATAGCATACTATTGTCAGAGACAGGTCAGGTGTATACATTTGGCTGGGGTGCAGATGGACAAACAGGTCTTGCGCACTATCGAAATGAATATAAACCGAGTTTAGTTAAGGGTGATCTAGCGGGACAACATATAATCAAAATCAGCTGTGCTGCCGATTGTGTATTGGCGCTTAGCGGTATGTAAAAATTATTTTTTTGTTGCGGATAAATATAATGAAATCATGAACGATCAAAATCTAAAATATTCCCGTCACAGATAAAGGAAAAGTTTATGGCTGGGGTAATTCCGAATATGGACAACTACCGATCAAGACCGAGAGTTGCCAAGTGAATATCGCTACAGAACTGGATGTATTTCAAGAAATAGGACCTATTACGGATATCGCTGCTGGTGGTAGCTTCTGCATGGCCTTGAATGGTGATTGTAACATATTTATGTTTATATTTCATAATATATTTGTTACATGTTTTGAAGTTATCAGTTAGTTATTAATAACTATTGTGGATATTTCTGCTAATAATTATTTACATCTCTGTATCAATTATCGTCTATTTTATAGATAAAGGTGATGTGTATGTATGGGGATATGGCATACTTGGTCTTGGACCTCAAGTGCAAAAAGTATCAAAACCAACTATGATTCCTGGCACATTATTCGGTCATAATGTATACAATCCCAATATTAAGGTAATTGAAAATAGATAGCAATAAAAAAGAAAGAATGTTTCTTTCATGCATGCTTTGTGTTTGCATAAAATATTATACTATTATACCATTATTATATTATTTTTTTACTGTGTAGATAAGCCAAATATATTGTGGAATCAGCCAGTTAGCAGCGTTGAGCAATTCTGGAGATTTATTTATGTGGGGAAGCAATAAATTCGGATGTTTGGGACTAGGACATACGGATGACCAGTTTTTCCCTTTGCGGGTACACTTATACTATTATCATATGAATAATATTTATATTGTTTCATACAAATAATATAAATAAAAGATTAAAATAATAGAACACAAATAAACGAATAATACATGTATAGAAAGTTTTTATATATAACATTTTGCTGTTTTCTTCTTGCACAGGTCGCGGTAGGCGCTCAAGTGAAAAAAGTTGCGTGCGGAGTTGATCATACAGTGACGCTTTGTAAGCCTTACATTTAAGAATATGACGTACTACCTTTTTAATGTTTTATATTGATCTTTTTACTTACGTAAGCAGTTTTATATTCATTCACTCATTCAAATATATATAAAAAAAGACTACATTAAACCTATAAAACCTTTTTTTTTTTTTTTTCATTATTGTAAATCGCAGTAATGGGAATGCATGTGTGTATGCATAGTTGTAACATATACATATATATGTAGTACAACTCTCAATTCTAATTTGATTAATGTATTGAAACATGTTTAATGACTTCAATTTGATCATTGAGAACAAACATGTGAAATAACATTAATTTCTATTATAATGTGTTACAGAAAAATATAAATTATACTCGCGATTAAAACAATAACGCTCAGTACATTTGCGCTCGCGTTACTCGTGCACACCAAATCTTCGTAGGAAACGGTGTATTTGATCATATGAGGGTATCTGCATACTTCTGTATCTAAAATATGAATGTTTTGTGTGTTACAAAAAATGTTAGAAATACTTTGGTTAGTCAACATTACACTACACTAAAGTATACATTCTTTAAAAGAAGTAACAAACTAAATAGAATAATAGTAAAATTCTTGCTGCAACTGTAAAAAATTTTCTCTTTTCATATTTAAATTAATATGTATGATCTTGCACTTTTTATATACAATACCTTTACAGTGAAAGTTCATAATTGACGAATTGGCTATTACTGATACGTATAACGGTTCACAGCGATGTATAAACTCGGCACCGCCACATGACACCTCAATGATGTGCATGTTGTCATTTACCAACGTGCATGACACATCGTCTGTCGAATTAGAGTTAATGGCACGTATACGTGACGTGCATACATTCAATATGCCCCAGCCGAACCCTTCAATCTGAAATATATATATTTATAATACATTTTATAATACATTCACACACACAAAGTTCAATATACATATAATACGTGTTTATTTACGAATTTAACAAGACGTTTACCTTTACTTTTGAAACATGGTTGCTGTCAGTAGAGAAGAAATAATTAGGATGCAACCTATAAGAAATTATCGTACCCGGTTCAATATAGTCGATAAACGAATTAGATGATGATCCGGTGCTGTCGTAATCGGCTCCACATTGTGTATTAATCAAACGCTGCGGAACTGAAATAAATAACGCGTGAATTAAGCTATACATTGTGCAGAAGAGAAATTTTAAGCTGTAAAATTCAAGAGAAAACTGTAAAATCTTATCTCCACTACCTTGTTTTATTCTCGAAATTACACTATTAATTGCTGAATTGCCTTGCAGTTCACCCGTAGTAGTGATAATGAACAAATCAGTTTCAGCATCTCTTACAAAATCTATCCATGTGTCCTTTGATCCAGAGGTCATTATAAGTATCGTAGCATCTGTAAGAATGTCAATCGTGAAGATCGTTTTTTTTTTCGTGCAATTCGTTGCGCATTTGCATTACTTGTAAAATTAGATTACTGTTAGATTAGAATTTATATAAAAAATTTTGTAGTTTCTGGGGGGAGGTAAAAAGAGTTGAAGCATTTACCTGGTACTTGTTCTCGCATTTTTTTTAACTCATTTATGCAAAACTCTTTGTCCTCATTGGCAACAGTTGATGTGTATGGAATAAATAATACTACATCGGACTTTCCATGTCCAAAACCATTACGTTTGTCATTTAATTTCTGTCTTTGTAAATCATTTAATTTCTCAAGTGATCGGAAAAAATCAAAGCCAGTATTCGTGACTGAAAAAGAAAATTATCCTTAATTTTTTTTTCACATATACCGATTATTTAATACATTGCACATACCATTTCTATAATGTGTTACATTATAAGAACCAATATCTAAGATACTGATGGTAGTGTTGATCATAATACTACCATCGCGGCCATTAATAAGCGTGAACTTGCTGTTGTACCGATTTATCTCTACATTGTCAAGTATATTTCTACATAAAAATAAAAGATAAAATGCATTTTTATATTGAAAATTATTATTACTAATTATTATTACTAAAAAAGGAGTAAAATTTGTATATGTAATTTATGTAATTTATACACATATATAAATTTAAAAAATTAAACTTACAAAATAATTGGATATATTGTTTCAAAACGCCATGTTGTGTCGAGAATAATTGTTAGATCAATAGCAACCTGAATAATGTCACTATAAATTCCTTTATTTATATCGTCACACGATAGATCCTTATTCATTGAAGATTCTAAAAATTAACGACCAATTGTAAAAGCTCATATATATCTCTTTGCGTCAAAGTGTCTAATAAAATGTTGAATGTTTATAGCACTTACGGACATAATTGGTCAACTCGTTTGCTGCTTGCACTGCAAATGCCTTACTCGCTTCGACAGTTATTACAGCTTCATGTAAATTTTTCAAAATGAAAGAAGCATTATGGGTCTAAAAAGCAACACTACACTTTGAAAAATGTCCGTATACAATATTAATAATATAATATTGTATACAATATATCGCGTATGTTATGTACATGAGTTTTTGTTATTAGTAAAGAAAACTCTTTTTTAATTTTATAAGTAACATTAACCTGTTCAAACATTGTGGAATTTTGTGCAATTTCCGAGAATAATGCTCTGCGATTACACGCTCTAAGTGAAGTACTGAACAATCCGTGTGAACTGTAATATAAATCCAAAATCTGCGATAATTTTAGAGTAGGTACTTTTCCGTACAAAGATTCTATTTGATTCGCAAAAATCAATCCATCCAAATCTCCTCTGATTCGCGCTGTGGTGAAATGTAATTTTTCATTGGCGCTCAGAAAATACCAATGTGGCACAGTCGAGTTCCAATTTCCATTTACACCCACGCTAATTTTCTGTTCTGTAGGACCTTGTCTTACAGCGACTACAGCCAAGTCGCCTATAAATACGAGTAAGAGTCGTTAATAAAATAATTAACAAAATCTGTTTCAGAAAGCAAGTTATATTGCATTTTTATAATTGAACGTTGTAGTCAATTGAATATTTCACTTTCTTATTGTATAGTTTTTCGGAAAAAACATGCAAATATTTAGCATAAGACAGCGCGAAACTGTAAAATAATACGAGAAAAAGATGAATGTCATTACCAGCCACAGTTGCGAACCATCTATTATCCAGTAATATTTTCGACAGTTTTTCTTTTTCCTCTGGCGATTTATCGAATAAAATATCCGAAGCTCTAACTATTTGCGGTTCAAGTCCGGCGGCTATACCAGAGATCAATGAACCGGCAGAAACTGGACCCCAGCTATAATAATCGATTAAGATACTTTCAAGACAGATCAAACGTTGTAAAGTAAAATTACTTGAACAAACATGTATACACTTACCGATAAAAGTTAAGAAACATATATATATATATATATATATATATAATATAAAAAGTAATTTATAATATTAATATATAAAAAATTTACATACGGAGTTTTTATGACACCATTTTCCACGGGACATCTACTTTTTGGTGGCATTTCTATTTTGGCAATACGGGCGATTTCCGGATGATTCGGTGGCAATTCTGGATACAACGCGTTTGGACCAAACGCGCTCTCCGTGTCTCCATTTTTTTGATGTTTAATAACATCGCTATATATATATACAATACACGAACAATCGTTAAATACATTTATTTTCGCACACTCAACTTTATAGAGTAGCCTGTATATATACTGTATATACATATGTATGTGTATCACCGTTATGTTACATTATATTTACATTTGTTCAGGTGTTAAGGTTTCCACGTCATTGTCCGCACTGGCATTCGTAGAACGATGATGATTGTTGGTTACACTCCTTGCATTTCTGTTAGCATTTTCGGCATATTTGCACACGGTGCCTTCGTCGCCTCTTTCGTAGAGTTCGATACTGCCAGACAGCATGGAATGAAGGGAACACTGCGAAAAAAATAATCGTTAAAATCGTTAAAATTAAAATCGAACCGCGTATAGAAACTCTATTTTTAAAATTTAGAGATATTCCTTATCTTTGTATGAAAATCATGAAATACGATTTTTTAGCTTACTGTTTCTACATCACTGATTATGTCGTCAGGAAGCGTATTTGTTCTCTCCGGTATTAACTCTAGTATTCGCAAGAACTTTTCGCTCTGTAAACTATCTATTACATAAGGTTCCACACCGGGTTTCTTAAGGACACGTGGATTTTCCAATATACCGTCTTTGCGATATCTGTAATTTTCAATGTGACGAGACATTAGTAATTTTAGATTTTTAATTTTTCAGTTTTTTATTTAAGATATACGCGCGCGTAAGAAACTATGTAGTTTTTTTTTTTTTTTTATTAGAAATAAAGGTTTTACTTGTGCATAATTGCAACAGTCAGGCTTCGTAAGTCCATGTTCAAGTTTTCTCGATCTTCGATCTTTCGAATAATTGCGATCAGTGTATTTAACGTGTGAGGTAATTTGTTATCCTTTTCCCGAAGGTACGCATTTGTGTAACATGGTAGCAACGTTTGTGAAATTTCATTTTTATTTGACTGTTCTTGCGCCAAAACGCCTACAAAAAAATGATTTAATTGCAAACTAATGAGACGATATAATAAAAGCTTTTTTTTGCACTTTTATACATATATGAATACTGTAAAAAAAATGTGTTTCTTAGAATTTGCGTTTAATTTTTAATATAATCACATTTTATCAAAAGCAAAATTGTGTAACATCATATAAAATTCTTAAAAGAAAAAATATCTCACCAAGTGTAAGTAGAGCGAACCAGTAATATAATCTGATCATCTTGCTATCGCTGAAAAGACGGAAGAAGATACGGAAATTTTCTGAATTAATGCTTTTCTTTAAAATAATATTGCAGCAAGAGTATTCGGCATATTGATTTCGAAGTGACAAATTTACACGGTACTTTCACACGTTTTTTTTTTTTTGTTTTATTTAATATGCAGGAAAGACACACGTTTTCCTTTCGGTTTCACTTAACGAGATATACTATACCACACCTTTTCTGCGGACACATATAGTACCATCTACTATCATTATCAAAAAAGATAAGATATCGTGTGTTATGAGTAATCTGTTCCCACTGATGATTGCAGAAATAACCCTTACGGTTAGAGAATATCAAAATTATTGCAATGATTTATATTTTAATTACCAATTAAATAAACCCCAAAAGCAATATGTTTTATATACATACAAACAATCAAGAGGTGACGTCGTCCTAATAAACGTCGCTTGACGACATCGTCTTTATGACGTTGCCTTGTTACTTGGAAAAGCTATTATCAATTAATCAAATATACTTTTAAGACTAAATCGGAAGAAAGTTATAAGACTTGCTCTATAATATTATTTAATTTAACGTACGTAGAATTAAAATGAATCGACGCACAAAATACAGTCAAAAGAGATTACGGTCATATTTAAATAGGCAATGTATACATATGTGTCACCGTAACAGTCGGCGCAAATGCAATAAAATATGCACGATATTATTTATTGTAATATCACATTGTATACTCAGTAAGTAAAATGAAAAATATCCCAGCAGATTGTTGTTTTTTCGTCGACAATTGTCTGTTTCAATCTGTCGACAGATTGTGCTAGTAAAGTAAGTATTATAACGACATTGTTTATATTAATAGTACTGATATAAATAAAATAGAAGAGATTTTAATTTAGTTTAGTTCGGATTTTACTTCTTTGTATGTTAAATAATAGTTTTACTGATAATACACATACATATATATATAAAGTATTTGAAGAGATTGCGCAGTCGCAGTTATCTTATCATCATCATCAAAGCAAACCATAATCTTGATATCTCTTTACAACGTGAATCATTAGAACAGTATACGAATCGGGTCGCAACACGCGTGTGTGTTATATATTTTGTAAGATATTGTTATATATGTGAGAAATAGTTGCATTGACACGCGATTTATACGAACGAAGACGCATTATTCTGTTAAAACAAAATCCCCCGATAGGATGGATTTTTTCATCATTTTACTACTATGTTACGGTATTGTTAACAAGTGAAATTGTGATTTGTGTGTGTGTTATATTTATGTATGTAATTTTCACAATTTTACATTTGTTATTTCCAGGGATAAGCTCGACAAATTCTCATAACGTTTTATATGATCTCAAAGAGTGCTATAGGAATAACAATTTGCATGATTTTCGTCTTCCTATGAACTTGCGCGTTTTGTTGGACATCATACGTAAGGCAGAAAATTACACCTACGGCGCGATGGATCTGAGAACAATGTCGTCTTCCTTGATGCACAGGTATATCTCGTCAATCTTCATTAATACGATATAATAAATTATATCGTATTGTAAAATTACAATATTCAAAAGCATTTTATATGAATTGTTGAATTAAATTTTTAATTCGAATCTGTATTAATTTACACATTCGGAAAATACATATTTGCGCACGTACGCATCCAGCATCGGCTCGTATTGATCTTAATACTTAGTTAAATTATAATTTCGCAAAAAAAATTTATAATAAATTTATAATATATTGTATAAATTCTGTCACAACAACATTGTCTTTATTGCATTAGATTTAAACTTGACGGCATTGTACGCTCCGAACACATAAAAGAAAGCGAGGGGATAATACCTTACAAACTGTCCAGAACGCAGAGTATCAAGTATAAATTAATAAAAAAGATGGTTCCGGGAAACGCGCAGTTGTTTCCGTTTGACGCGCTTACCGCGATAGAACGTTGTACTTTGCATCAAGCTATCTCGAATTCAGTGATGAAAAACAAATCACACGGCACGAATGCGGTGTGCATGGAAATCGGTCAGAAGTTAATAGGTATAATTTTCTCACATGCAAAGTTGCAAGAAAAAAATATAATTAATAAAAAATTTCAAGTAAAACTATTTAAATATTTTAAAATAAATTTTACGCGATGTAGGCAGAGCTCGGTTTGCCGATCTATGGAATTGCCCGCAGGAATACGGAGTAATTCTTACACCGTACGGAACTATTGCTCCAGGCGCTATTTTAGCGGCAATAACTGCATCCCTTGAGTATCAAAATGTTACGTTAAGTCTAATAAATAACTGGATGAAATCTGGTAACGTATTCACAATCATAAAAATACATATAAAAATATCAATACGTAAATTATCATAAAAAATATATAATAAAATAATCATATAAATAAAAAAAATACTATCTCAAAAGTACTTAAATATTTTGTACATCATATCAAAAACCAACAATCTCGAAAGAAAACCAAGAAAAAATCTTTGTTTCACAGAAAGTCCCAATGATAGTCCCATTGATAACTCAACCAACATCAGCGAGGAAGTGGATTTTATTATACCAAAACATAAAATGATTCGCAACAGATCAATGTCGTATCTCAATTCGCTAGAATCAAAAAAAAAATTAGATAACGTTTGGCTAGCAACAATTGCAGGTGGAAGATTTCAAAAGCAGCAAGGTGTTCTCTCAAGTCTTGCTAAAACATCCACAATAACATTATTTTTCAGGTGAATTAGCGGAAATGGTGGTGAATCAAGGACCTATAGTGGACACCGACATGACGATTGGCGCCACAGGATTTTGGAACAATACCATGCGTCCTAATGTTTACTATTTAAAAAGTAAAAACGATTATTTCGATGCTACTCGTGCCGAGATAGTCGGTGACATCGACGGTAAATATCTGCGTAAATATGTTAAAGTTTTGTTTTTTAATTATTAATAATGCAAAGTAATAATAACGATATATTACGAAATATTAATATAAGTTTTTTCTTTTTCGATTTGCAAAGGTCTCATCATTGCAAAAAAAATACAAGGTTGGATAGACGAATTTTACAGTCTTCGTTTGAGTCAAATCCTCGATATGTATTATACGGACGAAGGTATAACTCTGTTCAATGAAAACATTAGAGTCTGCGACAGGAAAAAGGCTTTTTCGCATAACGTGCCGAAAACACTTTTGGATGAACAGGTTCTGTGCGCTTTGTATGTTTCACACACACACACACACACACACATACACGCGCGCGCGTGTAAAATATGTAAATTAATTTAAATAAATAATATTGTTATTACTGTAACCAGACATTTGCAGCATCCGATGTTCTGGACCGTTTTAACTACCACATGTTTAGAACTTCGGAGGCGCTTAAACGAGTAGTCGATCATGCAGTCACCAAATTCACCGATTACACAAATAATTACCTTTTGACAGAATTACTTTGTCGAGGTAAAAGACATTATCCGCGGGTGGAAGCGTTTGTTGTATTTGACGGAGCTTGGACTACGGAATATACGATGGATTTTATTGCGTAAGTCGAAGTATAAAAACTTTATTGTTTTTTTTAACATATTAAGAAGAGTTGCGTGTGTGCGCGCGCGCGCGCATTTTAATTAATAAATTAAGATACTTTCATATTTTTTCATTCACGCTGCATCATTGTTATTAGAGCGTTAATAGACGATCTAGATGTATCGGTATATGGTTCGAAAATGGGAATTCTACACGGCACTTCAGGACAATGGTTGCTTAATGTAACAAACAGTCCCAGTCTTGCTTACTATGCTGTGTCAAATTTCACGAAGATTTCATGTAAGACTTTCTGGTTTTTGTGAAATGTTTACTTTTTTTTTATTTTTATTTTATATAGCTGATATTATATACAAACATTTTGCAGGGCCCAAACGTCTAGATTTTCTTGCAGTACAAAATACGATATCTAATTACTTGAATAAAACCTGGAAAGAAAAGTGGGAACAACATACAATAGGAAATCTCGCGCAGGTACTTATAATATTGACTCCGTTGGCTCAGTTTTCGGAAACGGAACAGGAAACGATGTTGAGGTCGTTAAAAGAAATTAAACGTCTTCATCCTGGTAATAAAACACTTATTATCAAGGCATGAGATTTTTCTTTAGAAAAAGAAATATGTATATACAAACATAGACGCGTTTATATTTTTATAATTCCAGATCTATATTTTCTATATCACACGTCAGAACAGAATTCTCGTTTCTTTCAACCATTTGTACTGTCAGACCAAGATCGCTTAATAATTGGTCCCAATATCGATGTCATTGTGCAGTATTTATCAACGTGTAAATATTATAAAGCATAGTGTTTTGTAATAAAATATTAATTAAACACAATAAAAATTGTGCGTTTAATTAATACTTTAATTTTGTATTCATAAGTAATGTTGTTTCAGTACCGCGAACTCTGAGGCCGGTAGTTCCATTTTATAAAAACGAGTCTTTAGAGTTTCAAGATGAAATAGAGGATTACATAAGTCCTACAAAATCAATTACATATATGATACATTCGCAGAACATAGATGAACAAAAAATTACAATTACAGTTAGTATTTTCAAAAAATCCAATGTCTTCTTTTTTCAATATGAAATTAATAATTTATTAAAACATCTGTGTTTTTTATAATTTTTTGTTTTACCGTTTTACCTAACGGCTTCAATAATAGGCTTCTATGCTAGGTCCATAACTTCGGATATGGAACAATAACAGCTTGTTCATGGAATAGATTTGATGGTGAGGAACATACAAAATGCCAACAGCTTGACGCACATAGAGAAATCACTTTACTTAACGACTTCAAGTGTATCTACGCATATTGTCCTCACGTGTATGTTCGCGTACAAAATGCGACTTCTTTTAACAAATGCGCAGGTAATATCTCTTTTTGTGATGATATAACTAAAAACGTGTTTGTTTTTTCTTATATATACAAAAAATTTCTATTTTCATATTTATATGTTTGTTTTATTTTGCTTTCTAGAAATGGAATGTAGGTCACCGAATCAAGTGAGATACATTATCAGAATGCAAAATACATATGACAACATAGCAAACAGGAATATATGTATAAATATATTTATAATGGTTTATTTGTATGTACAATTAGTTGTACTTAACACGTAAATATCTGCTCAATAAAACTTAAAACTTGTAAAAAAGATTAAATGTGTATGTTTCAATATGTAAGTTTAATATTTGTGCGAATGTATGTGTGTGTGAATAAAAATACTCTCCGCACACACACAAAACAAGGAATCAATATAAATAAGAATAAATAAATTTACAAGAAACTCCAGTGTGTCAGTGTGTAACTGTTGTTTCATATTAAATGATGAGTATTAACAAGGTTTCTTTATTTTATTGTTTACAAAAATACAAATAGTTATACTTGCAGATATTTCTCACATCAAAAGTTCCGATAAGCGTATTCATATATTAATTTTATAAGAAATTGGAAATTACTCGACGCGGCAAGCTCTCCAAGCTCCGATTCCTTCAGAAGCATATCAATATGTGGTAAAAATTCATCTACTTTTGCACCTAAAAACACACGCAATCAAACATAGAAAAAGTTTTGCATTTTCTTGTTATTTTTTATTGATATTTCATTGAGCTTACCCATAAAATATGCGAGGTCCATCAACTTGAAAAATAGTGTCTCTTGAACTTGTTGCTCGGGATTCTTCTCCACAGTGTCCCACTGATTTCGTCGTGCCGCGCGCGCCCAGATTTGTAACTTCACGGACAGCCTTTCCTCCTCATGCTCCAGATACTCGAGCAAATCAAGAGCCTTCTTGAAATCGTATTCGTTGGCTATAACGTTGTCGTTCGAAGTATATAACATAATTAGTTCTCTCGGTGTGAGTACTCGCATTTTCGTGGTATCGTAGCCATAGGCCTCAAGCACTTGAACCGGTATATCATCTTGATAGGCTATAAGCGTCAATTCATGATCGATTGTCTTGGTGCGATCTTGTATTCTGTTCTCTGGTTCCTCGGACGCGAGTAGAGCCAACTTGGCTAACGAGAGCATTGATTTCTTACGACTGACCAGTTCGGATTCTTGAGTCGCCAGTGTTTGAAGCGTGTTAGCGGCAAGTCGCAACTCGTCGGTCAACGCCGCCTGCACCCACGACAAAGTGGGATGTTCCGATAGTTTTTCCGTCAATTCTGTGATGCCGCCGCGTCTGCATCGTTCGACCAACTGTCCCTGGCGTCCATCTTTCACATACCAAGAGAACAAGAAGCCGGCGAAGTCTTGCGCCGCGAATTTTTCTATGTAACCGTCGAGACGATTTTTATTGTTGGTCAATTCGCAAATCTGTATGAGCGAGGGAAAGTCACAGTATTTCTCAGCGAGCATAGCGGCGTTATCATACTGTTCTTCCTTTATCAACGGTTCTATCAGCTTCACGCGCTCCGTTTCGTATTGCTTCAAGAGCACTTCGAATTTCTCCGTACCGCGAATACTCTCCAAGTGGCACTTTCTTCCGTCCAGTATCAAATCGATTAAACTGACCAATTGCTCGTACAGCTCATTTCTAATGGTGGAATCGCTGGTTCCTGTTACACCGTGTTTGAAGGTGATGCTCTGCATCGTAGCGAGACAGTTCCGCAAACCGGCTTTGCCCGGTGCGGCCGTCCACGGCAGATATTCCGTCCTCTCGTTTGACAATTTTGCAGGAACAAAACGTTCGGCATTGTCCTGACGATATTTCACCACTTCGTACAGCACGGTTAGCAAAATTGCGTTGGTTTGCATAATATACTGCGCAACTTGTTGCAGAGGTCTTTCGGATTGCGTAACTTCGCACGCGTTTTCCACCAAAGTCGGGAAGAACAGATGCACCGTGCTCACTTTACGATAGAACACATCGTGAGCCGTGAGCTCATCGGACACGTGAGACTTTGTTTGAGTCAACGTCTGATCTATAATTGTGTCTATAATTTCCGGATATCTGTTTTGTAAACTGTACAATGTCAACGCCGCGACGATCTTCTCCACGTATTCGCTGAGTACGTGCGACGTAGACATAACAGTCTCTCTGCACGTAACTGCGCAGAATCTGTTCCACAACTTGTGCTCTTTTAGGAAGAAAATAAAGAGATCCAGTGCTTTTTGTTTGCTCTCCAATTGACAGGGTATCTGCATGGAAGTGACCGCGTTCACTGTCATCGACAGATCTCGATGCTGCGCCCATCTCGGATCGTTCGCCGGATAATCGTCAATCAGATCTTTCGCGACTTTCAGAACAAGCGTGTCGAGAGTGGCGTCGATATTCATTACCGGGTCTTCTTGCAATGGAAAAAGTTCCGAGAGAATCCCGTCGCATTGCGCCTTGTTCTTTCGCAGACTCAGAAGAAACGCGGCGCGCAATTGTCTGGCCGCGTCAGAACTGGAATACATATCCTGAAGTTCGTCGTTACTTATAAGAGTAGAAAAATTCTGCGCCGTTTGATTCACTTTGTAGGAATAATCCATACTTATGGTAGTGTCTGTGTATCCAGTGGTGTTAAAATCTTGCGCAGCAAAATCTACTGGCGTGATAGACACGAGACCGACGCTTTTTGTGAATAACACCGGTGTCGATCCGCATATAGCACCACCGAGTATACTGTCCTCACCTCTCACCAGATCGATTTTGTCCTGCTCAACTTCGGACGCTGTGTTAACCACAAGTACATCTTCCCGATTGTATATAATCGCTTCCCAACCGCACAATATAAAATGATAGGAAGCCAGCAGTGATTCCATCTCATCGTGATAAAATACGCATCCATTGAATTTGATTGGTATGAACCATTTGAATGAATTTGACAACGTAGTGCCCGTTAAAGGTAGCAATCCAAGCGCGAAATGAATTTCAAGAGACGGATTGGCCGCCATTAGTAAGACTATACCCTCTTCGCAAGTTTGCATATCGATGAACCATGTGTTCATACTTTGAGAGCTCGAATCCCAGATTTTCCTCTGAAATGCTTGTTGAACAATATGAGTGATGTCCTCATCGAATTCCATTTTTTCTTGTTCGTTTTGAGAAAAAAGCCAATATTGCAAGGAAGACCCGGCGAGAATAAGCACTCTCGATCCTTTCTCGCCCAGAGATGTGCATGTGACTTTTACAAGCTTTGTTTCCGCGACGGGTGACTGCGGTATAGCCCCGAAAATAAGAGAGGTCATTCTACGACCTATGCCACCAAGCCATCCTTGACTCGTTCGAAGTACCTGACATGAGATTGTGTTCTTTCCATTGTTGAATTGAGGCTGTAAAAGTGCTACAGTACATGTAGTTGTGGCTAGAATGCACCCATGACCTGGTATGTGTATAAGACAATCTACTTCTTGTCCAGCAAGCTCGGCGCTAGTTTCTACAGAAGATCCTTCATGTGCTACACTCGCCCAGAAACGTACCACTCCTTCTGGTGATACTGCCATGCAACTAGGAACCTATTTGTTCCAAAACAAAACAAACAATGCATTGATTAAACATTTAATAAATTTTTCACCAAGTTTTTATCTTAATTGCTCCTATATAATTCTGACTATTAAATACCTGATGTCCAGGTGATACCCAGACTGCTATACAATTTGCCTTATGAGCCAGATCACTTTGAGGCAGTAACAATTCGCGACACTGAGTTTTAAACATTCTTCTTTGTTTGGAATCATGAATGTTACTCTTGCATTGCCATACAAGCAACTTACGACCATAGACCAGCCAAGCCCAGCCATCTACAGACACATTAACACTAACAACAATATTTCTATCTACAAATGTCAATGCTTCAGTAACTAAAACTGGTAATGGAGAACCAAAGCTCTCTACTGTGTGGCACTGAGTTCTGCATATTACTTGTACTGACTGATTTGTCCGTCCAGATACACTTGTTGTTCTGAAGAATGAAACAAAATATAAATTGTAAAAATCGTCACTATAGTTTTAAAATAAAGACAGTAGCAGTAATTAGTTAATGGCAAGAATAAGACAAAAAAAAACTTACGAGCTATTTTTCTTCAATGAGTGAACTATTGACATTCGTTTTCTAGGAGACGACAGAGTCCAGCCTAACGAAGTTCCTGCACTAGTACGATCCATTTCTCAAAAACTATAACATACGACTATTTTAACGTAAATTCAAAACATAAAGTTTTATTTTATTTATAAATGTCTCAAAATTGTATTTTTGAGATTTTATAAACACTTCTAATGCCTGATGATTTATTTATATGTAGTTGATTCTTATTCCACCGCGTGTTTTGACAGAGATACCAGGGCAGGGAGTTCAAACTCGCCCCTTGTGAAAAGGGGAACGTAGAGTCCCTGGAAATAAGAGTCTGGCCAATGGGTGTGTTTAGCCGAAGTTAGCGCTACGTAGCGCTACGTAGCGGCTTCATGTAGCAGTTGCAACTGCTGCGTTACTTCTGCTGGACAGTATTGCTACGCGCAGCGCTTTTTGTAAGCGCAAATATGTTTGT